AAAAAAAAAAAAAAAAAAAAAAAACACAGGTATTATTCTTCTCAAGAAGATACTAGGTTAGATAGATGGAACAGATTGGCTGTTAGATCTGTTTAATTTGGTATCTTTTTGAGAGGAATTTCTTTAGATAGATCCACAGACTGGCTGTGTATTGATAATTGCTGCAACAGGATGATGAATACATAAGGGTTCATTATACAGTTGTTTTGATAACAAAATAATGTTTTTTAAAGATAAATTAACAAAAAGTAACCACTTTGTCAGAATACAACCCAGCATTTTCAAGATTCTGGGGAAAGATCTTCAAGCAATGTCTCTTGAAGCGATATTTTGTTAAGAGAAAGGATCTTGCATCAGAAAGTCATCTCATCCATTTACAGGCTGCATTGTCCAAAATATAATTCAAAAGCAGAATTAGAACCATAAACTCCTGCTGTGAACTCTTGCCGCTGTGTGTAGTAATGCTGCTTTCTTTTCTGCCCTATAGGTTCGTGTGACTGTGTTTCCCTCAAAGACTGTAGCTCAGTATTCAGGAGTACCTTGGTGGATCATCCTAGTGGCTATTCTTGCTGGGATTTTGATGCTTGCTTTATTAGTGTTTATACTATGGAAGGTAAGTCATATCTGGCATTTGAATTTCATAACAAACTTTATTTCATGTTTGAACAAATGGGAATCAGCACTGGTAGTATGTTTTCTTTTTCATTGCTTCCTTTTTTCTAACATTATGAAACTCTTTTGACATAGCAAATTTGAGGAAAATTTTTCCATGAACACCTGTATATTTACCGATTATTTTGTATTTAAAGTTATTATTTGTACATAATGTTTCTTAAATGAATGTTGGTGTCTCTCACACATAATTTAGCATGTTTAGCAAATAACAAATTTAGATTTTATTACTTTAGCATTTTCTTCACCTAAGATTGAAGCCTGGATCTAAGCCAAATTGTTAGGGTGTCGTAATAATCTGAATCTGTATCCCTGCTAATTTCAGTTTCTGTGAAGAATGTTCATAGCAGCCATTGGAGTTGGTTATGCTTACAGCTAGATTTGGAGTAGAAAAGTATGACATGAATGAATAACTCTATCTCAAGGGGGGGTCATTATAGCATGTATCAAACATAAGGAAGGTCTAGGTTTGATATGATTTTCCTCATTAGAATTTGGCCCTTTGACTGTAAATAAAATGTAATATCTTCCCCTGATTCTACCAGTGAAGAATCTACATTATGAAAAACTGCATATGAGATGGATACAAACTCTTAATGCCCAAAGATTACAACTTAAAAATTTTAAATTATTCCCAGTGAGTGATAGAGGCTTATAGTCCCTTATCTGCAATTCCATAAAGCTCTGAAACCTTGAGGTGTATAATGACTTTTATTTGGCAATAAAACCTGACATGATGTAAAGAGAGGCTACTTCAAAGTCTTTATCCTTTATGATTAATTTCACTGCAGGAATATTAACATTTTGATTATAGCAGCATTAGGTATGCAGTGCATTACTCTTTTTAAAGGACAAAAATTTTGGATTCTCAAACATGTCTGGTCTGGAGGGTTCTGTATGAACCAGCAACCCCCTAGGATCAAACTATCCTTTTCTTTTCGCTGGATCCAAAAATATAATACATAAGGGTTCAAAATAGTCTTGCAAATATTGAGCATCTGTTTTTGCTTTTTTTTCCCCAACTGACTTTTGCCAATTTGAGATAATTTTCTGATGTCTTCTAGACATGGGATTGAAGCTTGGTATCTGCTCATGACAAAACTCCTCCTGGTAGGGAGTTTCAGCCAGTTTTACCTCTAATGTTTACCTCGGGCAGTAGGTTCCTCTGGCAAACATAGCCAGTCAATATAAAAATTTTTTTCAAGGAGATGCCTTGAAGAAAAAAAAAATTTTTTTTGAGGCAAGGTCTCACTCTGTCACCCAGGCTGGATTGCAGTGGCATGATCATGGCTCACTGCAGCCTTGACCTCCTGGGCTCAAGCATTCCTCCCACCTCGGCCTCCTGAGTAGCTGGGACTACATGCCACCACATCTAGCAAGTTTTAAAATTTTTTTTGTAAAGATAAGGCCTTGCTGTGTTGCCCAGGCTGGTCTTCAACTCCTGGGCTCAAGCAATCCTCCTGCCTTGGCCTTCCAAATTGTTGTAATTACAGATGTGAGCCATTGCACCTGGCCTTGAAAAGTATTTTGATATTAAAAGCTGAAGTTGGGGTTTGTTATTTGAGGATGATATTGTGTTTTCTGGAAGAGGTCACAGGATGGTCTTTTTCAGAGCATTGGCAGCCTTTAATGAGGGTGAGACAGCAGTGGATTTAAAGTTAAGAAACCTAAGCTGTATATGATCTTGGTCGAATCATTCCATCTCCCTGGGGCCTCTGTTTTGCCTCGTCTGTTAAATAAATTGATTAGATTAGATGATTTCATTATTTTGGGAGTTTTTATTTTGTTTTTGTTTTTTGAAGCTCTGAAGTATCCAGGCTGTCAAGGGGACTCTAAATTACAGACAACTTACACAACCCCACATGAGAAGCATTTTTATTACTTTATACTTCTATTCAACTGAATTATTTAGTATGTTAAAGTCATAGGATTTTAGGGTCAGAACTACAGTTCAATGGCCCTTAAATTGGATTTTGTATATCCATGTAGAGGGCAAAGCTAAACTTAGACAGATGGAGATCCCTACTTCAACCACAGTAGTTCAGATTGTATCCATTTTAAATATCAGGATTCTGTACAGGATTTTGTTTGCAGAAAAAAAAATAAAGGTCCCTTGGGCTGGTCTAAACACCTTCATTTTGCTAACAAAGATGCTCATGACCAAGGATATTAAGAATGTTGCCAACTGGGCACAGTGGCTCACGCCTGAAATCCCAGCACTTTGAGAGGCCATGGCGGGCGGATCACGAGGTCAGGAGATTGAGACCATCCTGGCTAACACGGTGATACCCCATCTTTACTAAATATACAAAAAATTAGCCGGGCCTGGTGGCGGGTGCCTGTAGTCCCAGCTACTGAGGAGGTTGAGGCAGGAGCATGATGTGAACCCAACCCAGGAGGCGGTGCTTGCAGTGAGCTGAGATCATGCCATTGCTCTCCAGCCTGGGCAACAGAGCGAGACTCCGTCTCCAAAAAAAAGAATGTTGCCAATGGAGGCAGGACCAGGCCTTTTGGTTCCTGGTTCATTCTTCCCACCCTGTTTACTAGCACATATTATTGAAAGCTGCCCAACAAAACTCTATACTGATGGAAATGTTCTGGAGTTGCAGCATCCAATATGGTAGCCGTTAGTCATGTGTGGCTGTTAAGCACGTGGAATATGGCTGGTTCAATTGAGGCATAGAGTTTTAAATGTAATTTAAATTAATTTCAATCTGAATAGCCTCATGGAGCCAGCAGCTCCCATATATTGTACAAAGTGAATCTAGGCTTTTACCTTCATGAGTTGCTGGACTAGGAAGCAGTTTTTCAGGAGATTTTATTTGACCAGGTTAAATTTTATAAAAGACAGTTCCATGGCCTTATGAACTAGATAAAATAGGAAAAGTTCTCTATCACTGAATGAAGGAAATTATAGTAGAAAGTGGAATTATACTTTTATACTCATTTAGAGTGACTTAACTTGAGGAGCATGGGGTCCCTACCATTTAAGGGTTATATGGTGCTCAGAGTTTGGGAAAATGACAGCAATCATTCTTTCATGATGGTGTATTCGAATTTGTATTGTGATTCACCCCACAGATCCAAAGGCCTCAAGTAAATGGCATTTGTTCCATAAAATTTACTGTAAAAGGCAGAAAAATAACCACAGTATATCTATATTTTATTTGGATTTGTGCTAACTTTTACTTAGAGAATTTATTTTCTAACCTTTGTCTCAAACTGCCAAAGACAGTCTTTTGCCTCTTTTGGAGTTCATATTCTCCTGCAGGAAGAAACTACCCAAAGCTACAGTCAGCAGTGTATACATGTTTTCCCTATTAGAATGATTTTTGTCCTCAGGATTTCTGTCACAAAGGGAAAAAAAATCAATGAGCTGGCTAGTGTCATCCATATAAATATTTGACCAGAGATGTATGGTGAAGGGTGTATTGGATGTGACAATGAAACAATGCAGTGGCTGTTCACTGTTGGTTGACTGAAAGTGGTCTGTTTATAAACAAGCCACAAGTAGCAGATTAAAATCTGAGATGTTCTGTTGTTTAGTTCTTAAAACTGTAAAATTGACTAAATACCTTGCTTCCTTGTAGTGTGGTTTCTTCAAGAGAAATAAGAAAGATCATTATGATGCCACATATCACAAGGCTGAGATCCATGCTCAGCCATCTGATAAAGAGAGGCTTACTTCTGATGCATAGTATTGATCTACTTCTGTAATTGGTAATTGATCAATGTTTTTTAATTGCTAGCTGTGGGACCCGCTATGGTTGTGGTAGCTAACTTTAAGAACAACAGCTTGCTGTGTGTGTCCCATTAACAGATGTTTCCAAATGTTCACACTGGCTTGCCTTGCTTGGATTTGTTTTATTTCACTTGAAAGCTCCTTTTTTTTTTTAAATGCACAAAGAATTTTTCGTTGCAGGTGAGTTATTTTATGTTGTTGTTAAACATTACCCACAGCAATGAAGAAAATTGCAATCTTTGTACATACACACACGAGGCTTTTAGCCCTCCATAGTAGCCCAGTTTGCCCGGTGTTATTAATTCGGTATGTAGCATCCTACTAGGGAATTCAAAGATGCATAAGAAATTGCTCCAGATTTCTTGTTCATTTTGGAATTTCCCACAGATAGAAGCTGTGTCGACTGCCTAATTAACCTGTTGCATGTTGGAAATGTGTTTCTTTTGGTTGAGGCTTCCTCACTGTCATCCTTTCGTTTTCTTTGCTATAAAGTGATGGGGAAGGCTTGGAATGCTTTTTACTGTGGCTCAGGAATCGTTTTCTGCTAGCTAAGCATGCAGCTTCCATTTCCTGCGTATCTCCTACAGGTCAAAGACCATTACAACAAACTATGGTTATCAGCATGACGGGCTTTATGGCCAACTTCAGAAGATGATCCTCTACCAAAGTTACCTTCTATCTACCAAATTCTAGTACAAAAAAATGCCCTGAAAAGTTTTTATTGTAATATGTTGTGATGGAGTTTGACCATATTTCATGTATCCAGACATTTTATTCAACCTTGGGTCTCATTGATTTTAAATTCAAGTTTCTCTTATTTGTAAATCTATGGAAATAGGAATTGCTGGTGATTCCTTTCACCATTTATGTGGGCATAAATCTGAGATGTTCTGTTGTTTAATTCGTATACACAAGACTGTAAAATTCTTGTGTATAAAATTTTACACAAAATTTTATAGGACAGAATTACTCCTGTAATCCTTTCCATGGCACTATCACAGTGAATCACAACATTGCCATTTCAGCTTAACAGATCACCTTTAATTTCCCTCTTTGTTTAAATGGGGTAGGCAGCAGTCATATTTTGTAACAGATAGGTACTTTGGCTTTTTTTTTTTTTTTTTTGCACAGAATAATAAATAAATCCATGTAGAAATGACCTGGAACAAAACATCTTGGTCCATTTTGCCTACTGATTTAGTGATAACTATGCATATAATTTTATCTTGCTCCATGGCATTTTTATAACATCATTCAGCGTAAATGTCCTGTTACTGTTGATGTCACATAATAAACACATTAATCAACCATTCTATTAATAACTATTCCTCATTCTTCAAAACTGCATTTTAGTCAAACACACCTTTTTTGAAAGTAAATATATTTCATTAAATGTTTTCATTTCATGAAAAGTAATATATTTCATTAAAAATTTAATCTCAATTTTTTTCAGATATATTCAGTAAAAATATACTTTGGATCAGATTGAATATTAAATGATATATATACACACATATACACATTAACAATTTAAAGAAGAAAAATTAGGGAGTGCTCTGAAATTCAGTGTAGTGATACACTTCTCAAGTCCTATGCAGCATATGATTTTTATTGTAGGAACAGTCACTATGTGATTTATTAATGAAATAGCTTAATTAGAAGCACAATAGCAAATCCAGGCAACATAAATTACATCCTAGCTAATGAGAGGAGTGATACGTGTACTAGAGCCTCAGAGGAGAGAAAAAGATTATTAAATTGACCTGCTGGAACTCTGGCATATTCAAATAATAATTAGTAAAATACTTGTGACATGATTTGCATTTTATTAGTGGGAGAGGGGCATGAAATAATATTTGGTTTATGCCTTTTAAAAATTCTTAAAATGATATTCTAATCTGATAATTAGATCTTTTACATATAGTGATTATTTTAAAATATGGAAGCACTGTTTTCATAGTCTTAAATTGTTAGTAAAGAGGTAGCCTACATTTTGTTATAAAATGTAAAGAGAAGATGAAAATGGACTTTTCTTCCAGTTTTACAGTTGTTCTCTTCCGTTGATCCCCACTGGCTGTTCTTTCATTTTAACCTCTTAGTTCTTTCTTAAAAGAAAACCATGTCTTGTTCCCCGTAGTCCAGAGGTAGACATAGCTGAACAGAAAGCTTAGACATTCCCATTTAGTGCACTTGCTTCTTTGTGAGATTAATTGGTTTCTCTTTCTCTTTCCCTCTTCTCCAGTGTGGATTCTTCAAACGCTCTAGGTACGATGACAGTGTTCCCCGATACCATGCTGTAAGGATCCGGAAAGAAGAGCGAGAGATCAAAGATGAAAAGTATATTGATAACCTTGAAAAAAAACAGTGGATCACAAAGTGGAACGAAAATGAAAGCTACTCATAGTGGGGGGCCTAAAAAAAAAAAAAGCTTCACAGTACCCAAACTGCTTTTTCCAACTCAGAAATTCAATTTGGATTTAAAAGCCTGCTCAATCCCTGAGGACTGATTTCAGAGTGACTACACACAGTACGAACCTACAGTTTTAACTGTGGATATTGTTACGTAGCCTAAGGCTCCTGTTTTGCACAGCCAAATTTACAACTGTTGAAATGGATTTTTCTTTAACTGCCTTAATTTAACTTTCTGGGTTGCCTTTGTTTTTGGCATGGCTGACTTACATGTGTTGGGGAAGGGCCTGCCTAGTTGCACTCGGGTGACATCCTCCCGATAGTGCAGGTGAGTGTAGGTGCCTCCTCAGCTACACTAACAGAGTGGCCGTCCTAACCTTGGGACTGCTGCGCAGACATCCATCACGTTAGCTGTCACACATCACAAGACTATGCCATTGGGGTAGTTGTGTTTCAATGGAAAGTGCTGTCTTAAACTAAATGTGCAATAGAAGGTGATGTTGCCATCCTGCCATCTTTTCCCATTTCCTAGCTGTGTGAATACCTGCTCACGTCAAATGCATACAGGTTTCATTCTCCCGTTCACTAAAACACACAGGTGCAACAGACTTGAATGCTAGTTATACTTATTTGTATATGGTATTTATTTTTTCTTTACAAACCATTTTGTTATTGACTAACAGGCCAAAGAGTCTCCAGTTTACCCTTCAGGTTGGTTTAAATCAATCAGCATTAGAGTATAGGAGGTCATCACGTTGACCTAAATTATTTACTACAAAAAGAAAATCTTTATAAATGTACCAGAGTTGTTTTAATAACTTATCTATAAATTATAACCTCTCCTTCATGACAACCTCCACCCCACAACCCAAAAGGTTTAAGAAACAGAATTATAACTGTAAAGATGTTTAATTATTTCAGGCATTGGATATTTTTTAGTTTAGAAGCCTGCGTAATGTTTCTGGATTTCATATTGTAACATTCAGGAATTCTTGGAGAAAATGGGTTTATTCACTGAACTCTAGTGCAGTACTGCTGCAAATACTGTATGTTCAGGACTTGAAAGAAATGGTGAATGCCTATGGTGGATCCAAACCGATCCAGTATAAGACTACTGAATCTGCTACCAAAACAGTGATTCCAGTCAGAGCATCGTGGCTTTTACATTGTTAAATGTTATTGGAACCATTTAATCAGTGAGTCGATATTCCATTTTTTATTTTGTTTCCTCCCCTATCTATAATCCCAAAATTACTTTGGGACTAATTTAACCAGAACTTTGAATTGTGTTTTTAATTGTAAAAATGGCAGGGGGTGGAATTATCACTCTATACATTCAATAGAGATTGAATTGGATATGAAACCTGATTTTTTTTTTTTAATTACCATGCTTCACAATGTTAAGTTATATGGGGAGCAACGGCAAACAGGTGCTAATTTGTTTTGGATATAGTATAAACAGTGTCTGTCTTTTGAAAGAACAGAACACAGTTGTAGTGCCACTGTTTTGGGGGGCTTTTTTCTTTTCAGAAATCTTAAACCTTAAGAAACTAAGGACGTTGTTTTGGTTATACTTTGGAATTCTTATTCACAAAATATATTTTGTTTACAAAAATGTCTGTAAATAAAGTCTCAGTTTCTTGCTTGGGGAACTTGTGTCCCTAATGTGTTTAGATTGCTAAGGAGCTGATATTTTGACAGTTTTTAGACCTGTGTTATTTTAAAAAAAAGTCCCAAAAAGGGTGTTGGGAGGGTGGTTCAACAAAGAAACAAAGATGTTACGGTGTTCAAATTTATAGTTGTTAAAAATGTCATCTCAAGTCAAGTCACTGGTCTGTTTGCATTTGATACATTTTTATACTAACTAGCATTGTAAAATTATTTCATGATTAGAAATTACCTGTGGATATTTGTATAAAAGTGTGAAATAAATTTTTTATAAAAGTGTTCATTGTTTCATAACAAGCATTGTATATGTGAAGCAAACTCTAAAATTATAAATGACAACCCAAATTGTCTATTTCATCAAACCAAAGTTCAGTGTTTTTATTTTTGGTGTCTCATGTAATCTCAGATCAGCCAAAGATATTAATGCCAAAGCAATGGGACTGAGGGTTTTTTCTTTTCACTGTTTAGTTGATCCTCAAGTCTTTAATTTTCCTTACGATTAAAAGAAACCTACAGGTATTTAACAACCTACAAATTGGGAGTTGTCTTTGGATTGAACGTTCCACTTCACTGCCTGTCCTTGTAAGGATAGGGAATTACTTAGCAATGATAACCTGGCATTAAAGTTCTGATGGCTAAGCTGCTTCCTTCTTAGAACACGTTTTGGATGTGGGAGCCAGGCTAGCTGTGACATGTGTCATATTAATCACCAAGACTGGTTTGGCAGAATCAACTAGTCAGAAAATATTTTCTTTAGCAAAAGATCCTAGATTTGCGTTTTATGAAACTTCTCTAGCTGGATTATCACAACCTAATACAAGAAAATAATATATATATATGTGTATATATATGTGTGTGTGTATATGTGTGTGTGTGTGTGTGTGTGTGTATATATATATATAATGCCTAGACAATCAATATAGCATGCCCTGGCCTGAATAAATGTCCAAGATATTAGGTAATAGCTTTCTACTATACTTGGCATTACATAAAATTTTGGCCCTCTTGTTTCTTTGAAGATCAAGTGTTACCACCCAAAGAAACGTGATTGGCACTTCTTAATGATTTGGGCCGGTGGCTGTGAACCTTTTTAGCCTCAGTTCACATATTGGATATACCCAGATGAAATCACTACAATAATATGTAATCATCATAACCTCATAGAGCCTATCAGTAGCTGTGGTTTGACTAGGGCTATGGCATAAATGACAGACTGTAAGTCACGGCCCATCCAGTCATAGTGCCTGTGATTCCAGCACTTCCCCTCCCTCTCAAAAAATACAGGAACGTCTACCAGCAATTGTATTATTACAGGGTTATCCTTGGATCTATTTGGATTCACAGAGGAATCATTGTAAACACTGATACTTCATTATTGATTGCAAATTAGTTGCTGCAAATTCAGTGTGTCATGCATAGTTACGGTTTATGCTTTTCCCTGGTGGCTGAGAATATTCTAGCATGTGGTGTTGACATAAATGGGGAATGCTTTAAAGATTGTCCAGACTGCCAGCTGTGGTGGCTCATGCCTGTAATCCCAGCACTCTGGGAGGCTGAGGTTCCTTGAGACCACAAGTTGAGACCAGCTTGGACAACATGGCAAGACCCCCATCTCTACGAGAAATTTAAAAATTAGCCGGGTATGGTGGTGTGCACCTGTAGTCCTTGCTACTTGGGAGGCTGTGGTGGGAAGATCACTTGAGCCTAGGAGTTTGAGGCTGCAGTGAGCTATGATTGTGCCACTGCACTCTGGCCTGGGCAACAGAATGAGAACCTATCTCTAAAAAAATTGTCCAAACCAGGGAAGTAAGGATAAGATCAAGCCTTCTACTCTAAATGAAACATCTTAATGAGAAACTGGTCTCTAGTACACTATCCCACAAAAGGACAATGTGGGAAGACAAACTGGGATTGAAAGACTTGTTTTCAAGGAGGGAAAGAGATGGTCAGTGGTTGGGTTCCACATAAGTACATCCACAGGGCTGCGAAAACAGAAATGTGGAAGAGTTGTTTGATCAACTTGGGTAGCATAAAGTAAGTGATTACAGGCAGTTCCTCAAGACCAAAGGACAGGGTCCGACCACTTGGAATGAGGAAAAGGTGAGGGTCGAAGAGGTGAAGAAAATTAACTTCAGAATGATTTCAAAAGAGTGGTTATTGCATGCTAGTGGGCATCTGTTCTTTCCGTAGTTTCTGATTACAGTTAGTAGCCAATAAGTGCTTTTTCTCTCCTGTACCTTAAACCGGTTTTGCCAGCTCCAAAAGGCATCTCATCCAGCTGTTGGAAGGTGGGAGAGCTGTACACTAGGAGCTGAGGCCAGGTCTATGGAGGTGCTACCAACAGACCTCATCTAGGAGGAAAATCATGACGGGATTCATAGCCAAATCCTCTTGACTCAGGGTAAATGAACTGTAAAACACAAGCCAGAGGAAGGAAACTGATGTGGTCCAGTGCAAGGGTGGACCAGACACCACAAAGGGCAAAACTAACCAGTAATGGTTGATGATTACACCGGAGTTGAGGGAATCAAGTGGTCAAGTGCAATTTTTGTAGCAGTCAGCAAAGTGTAAGTGCCTCAATCTTCTCTTCCCCTGTAGCCATCTCCCAGTTATGCTGCCTGTGCTGGCGTCATGGAAACAGTTCCACGCTAGGAGAGGTCAGATAAATTTCTTACTCTTCAGCCTTCTAGGACATGTGCCAAAAATCTCAAGAAACTACAGGGTCAGAATGTGCTACCTTTGTTATCTCAAAAACCAGCAATTAAGTTTTCAGTTCAACAACCAGTAAGTGGATTTAAGTGAGTGTTCTGTTAAGATTCTGTCATTGTGAGAGGGATGTGATTTAATCATTATTTTCCAGTTGGAAGTAAACAGATAAACAGTTTACGGATGTTAAATTAGGCTCTGGGGATATACATAAGACACTGGCTCTGACCTTTTATAGGAAGCTTATAATCTAAAACTACAGATGGTATTGACAAGCATAAGTGAATTCACTTTTTATAGGTAGCAGAATTTAAAACCTTGAGTTAATATATCAATGATTGACACATAAATTCAATACCTGGCTGGGCGTGGTGGCTCACGTCTGTAATCCTAGCACTTTGGGAGGCCAAGGCAGGCAGATCACATGAGGTCAGGAGTTCAAGACCAGCCTGACTGATATCGTGAAACCCGTTTCTACTAAATACAAAAAATTAGCCGGGTGTGGTGGTGGCACATGCCTCTAATCCCAGCTACTTGGGACGCTGAGGCAGGAGAATCACTTGAACTGGGAGGCAGAGGTTGCAGTGAGCCAAGATTGTGCCACTGCACTCCAGCCTGGGCAACAAGAGCAAAACTCTGTCTCAAAAAAAAAGAAAAAGTCAATACCTGACGCTTTGTGGGTGGAACTTGCCCCTAGAACAACCCCATTCCCAGAAAATTTAGAGTCCTTCTCAACCAGGTCTACACATTTACATCACCAAAGAAATACATATTTCTTAAAATCCTGATGGCTAGACAATCTGCCACACTGAGTACATGAGAATCTGAGTGCGACACCCAGGAATTAGCACTGCTTAAAGCTCCCCAGCTGACCTGTAAAGTGCAGCCAGGATTGAGAACTGCTTTAGAGATTATTGGATGTTGTGAATATTTATCAAAATAATATGCTCACTGTGTGAAATGCCTCATTCCTGTTTGTGGTACTTCTACTGCACCAGTAACAGGAGCTGAGAAGCTAGAGATGCATTTGCTATAGGCAGGGAGGCAGCTAAGCAGTGCATAAGGGCATAGCTCTGGAGCCATGTTGCAGGTGTGAATTAGCTTCACCTCTTAGAACATAACCTTGGGTGGGTTACTGATATCTCTGTGCCCAGTTTCTCGGCCTATGAAATAAGATTGGTTACACTACTCAGAGGTTCTTTTGTTTTGAAATGGAGTTTTACTCTTGTTGCCCAGACTGGAGTGCAATGGCGTGATCTTGGCTCAGTGTAACCTCTGCCTTCTGGGTTCAAGTGATTCTCCTGTATCAGCCTCCCGAATAACTGGGATTATAGGCGCCTGCCACCATGTGTGGCTAATTTTTTGTGTTTTTAGTAGAGATGGGGTTTTGCCACGTTGGC